GATTTTGTTGTAAATTATCATTAATGAATGGTGATCACATTTAATGTCAAACATGTACTGAAAAACAACTTTTGGCCAGCTGTACAATGATCACGTTTCGTATACTCGTATCTGGTATTGTACATTGTTTCAGTATTATGAATTTGTGCTGGTCGTTTGGTTACCGATCTAATATTTTGAATGATTAAACCTACTAATTGGCTCGCGATTTGTTACTTTGACTATTTTGGGGGGGCTGTTTATATCCCCCTGTTTTCAGGTAAAGTCCCCTCAGTTTAATATAACGCTACGTGATTGGCTGATATATCGACATGCCTTTAAAGTATTAAATAACTATAATCGTTTTTTTACTCATCTATTTGGTCTAATTCAGTACAGTTCACAATCGTTCTTATACGTTCTTTAACCCAAGATTCTGTCAAGATTTGCCTGAAAACGTTTGCGGACTTAACGCCTCTTCGTTTTCGATGCGCTTAATCGCTCATTCTACAATTAAAGGTCGACGCCTTTACAACAGCTCGCAATTCTCATGATGCTTACGCGCAAAGATTTATGCGACAGTATTGGAAACACTGCTTCGTTTTTTTATCGTTTCGGAGCGTATTTGGATCGGATATTTAGGTCGCGTGAACGCGAAGCGTGTTATAATTATTTTTTTGTTCGTTACTGTATGGATTCCTATTTCCTGTGCTATTTCGGATCTGTAAATGTGCAATGTAGGTGTGCATAATAGCACACAGAAGGACATAAAGATGGCCGTGCACACAAAGCTTTTGACAATTGCGCAAGCGTAGATAAAATGAAGTCCCCTGTCATCACGAAGATGTTAAGGCACCACAACAAATGAGATTCTGTTTTACAAAAACTCAGTTATTGCGCTTCCAATGAAGCCGAGAAAAATACAAAATCGTGTGACAAAGGGTCGATTTCAGTAACGCGCGAGTGATAGCGCCTGTAAAAATAATAGATTCGCATTGAGGAATGCATAAAAGTCATTGTGATGTAGAAATTGGTTCCGTTAAGTTGGTAGGTGCTGGCCCAATTAACCTTTACATCGTGAAGCATTGCAAGCCACCCTCAGCAACGGCCGCATCATCTTCACAAATTATATGAAGTTATTGCACTATTGATCTTGACCTTGCTTGCTTTGGTTCGTTGTTATGACTGTACGCTCAATCAATAATTTAATCACATCTTTTGATGTGAGATAATCGCAAACTGTGGCTGGAATACCGACAATGACTTTCACCACACGACATTTTTGCGCTAAAAGGCTGAATTGTGTACGAATACGACAAAAATTGACTTCAAAGTACAACTGATAGTGATATCGTTCACTTTTTTCGTGACTCATCATCAGTTAGTCATGTAGTGTCATTTCAAACTGAGGGAATTTTTCAAAGAAAACTGAGAGGGGATTTATGATTTCCCAATTTTTATCAGTCAATAAACAGAATATGCAATATAGCAGTGAATTGTGTGATTGTAAAAAAAAACGATTACACTGTTGTAGCTCGCGATCTCAGCTCAAATATACTGATGTTACAGACAAGCATCGGGAAGTGATTTGCGATCAATTATCGGTGTCAAAATATGATACAATACAAAAAAGATTCTTGGAAAAGCTGAAAAGGGCAAATCTATTTTGATCGCTTCAGTAGCTTAATCACCAATACACACAACTTTGTTTATTGACTTTTAGCCACACGACACGCGAACATCTTTCCGGGACAGAAAAGTTTTGGAAGTACAAGAAGAGAAGGTTCACATGTCGCACGTTGGAACTAGATTTATATCACTTGACTAAAATTACATGACGGTTTTTTAAGTTCATCGTCTGCTACGATCAGACGACAAAAATTTAATACCGGGGGAAAAGTTTGCGGACGTCAAAAGTGGCCAGAGAGCTTCATTGGGTAGATCAGGAAGAAAAAAGTATTGAAAAAGTAAATTAAGCGCTGATTAAAAGGAATTTTAAATTGCGTCTAATACGATGGCGATCTCAATGCAGTATCAGTAATCTGCCAGGGAATATCGCAGTTCTATAAGAAATGATAGATGAAAATATCTGAGCGACGCTTTAGGTACAACAAATCAAACACATGCTAGGTATCACACCTTCTGAAGCAAAAGAAGGTATTGCGATAGCTGTTAGGAGGGCACATGCGGTACGCGCAAGAATCATATATTCACGCACATGATCATATTATTTCGTCTATAATTGAGCAATTCTGGACAGAAGCCGTGGTCATATCCTCAATTTGTGACAACAAATTCTCACAAGTTCCTAGTATATAAATACCAATAAATATGATTATGACCGAAATTGCACAAGAAGCTTCAACAAGGTTACTTAGGAACCCACTGTGTTTAAAATGGAAGAAAGATTGTCTTGCAATCGGAAACACCCTTTCTTACTGCGTTAACTAAATTTAAAACTGATCGATTTCTCAATCAATCAGTTCAGTTTAAGATTTTGATCAATTGATCATAAAGTCCTCGAGAACGTAATTTGGCGTTCCTCTCTGATTGCTGTCGCAGTATTAAACTTAACGAAAAGTGCCAGGATGAATGGCAACGCATCGCAGGGAAATGGGGATAAATTACGGAATTTAGTAATGGCTTCACTGCGTAATGAGCCTAGAAAGGGTGATAGGTCGCGGAGGTAATGCCATCAATTAATGTCGGGCTGATGTTGTTAAAACAAATTTAAACAAAATTACGTTACTACTAAGTGATGATCGAATTGGAACATTTTTGTCTTAGTAGGTCGATCAGACACGTAGCACATATCTTTGGTAGTAAATATGCAACCTCCAAGACGTTGTTGGCATACCCATCTACAAATAATGAGATAATTATAGCAGCAGGAGATCTTTATCATGTGCCAACGGTACCTTATGATTAACAATCCTAGCATAGTATTCAGATCGCTAGCAGAAGTAAAAGACGACTGTACAAAATGACCAACTATAATCTGTCATAATCCATTGTCTGCTGTCCCACGCTCCAGTGTACGTGTATTTCCGATTCACCAATCTAAACTGAGATCAATGTAGGTAGATTTTACTGTTATCAGTATGAGCTTGAGACGCCCCGATACAATGGCACCCGCTCTTTTGTTTCGAAGAAAATTCAAAGAGATAAATACAATCTTTGGTGTTATATTATATATTTTTACAGACGTTGATATCGTGATACGTCATATTTGAATATATATTTAATGACATTAATTAGACGCGCTGGTCTGAAGTGGGTCATCGCACCAGTAATCTGTTTGTCTACCCGAAATGAAATTCTAATTATATACGTTATGCCCCATTTACATCTGATGATACCAGCATCAATTTGATATCCCTATTTTTAGTTTTTAGTCAGATTTGCGGTGATTGCGATTGTTTGAAGGTGGTGAAATACGAAAATAGAGATACGGAGGAGACACAGGAATCACTGGTTGAACACACACATTGATTTAGGTGAGCAAGCTTTTGAGCTCGCCCTTTGATACAAGTGATATAGTTTAGAGAACTGAATCAAGTTGCAAGACACTATACAACGGCAGACACTGAGAATGAGTATAATGCTGATAAGGTTTGTATCGACCCAGTACAGTGTACATGGGCAACGCGACCGGCCTATGCTAACGAGCGTCTAGCATTTGCGTATGTGATCGAATTTCACCTTTGATCGATTTCTAAACCTACTCATAAGCATCCGAAGTCACTCTCTGGCTAAGTCACTATTGCACCATAATAGTGACACAGCCAAAGAGTGACCTCGGACATATTTATAATTGTGAGGGGGGACAGGCTTGATCGACTTAGTACGCGTTTAGGTACACCTACCCGCATTATTTATAGACGAGACAGACAAACACACAGATAAGTACGATTTAAAAGTTTGGCAGTCAAACTTGCGCACACACACTAATAGCTTCGCCCTTCGTTCCGCAATATTTTTACATATTGTGGCCCTATTGACGTGGTAATATTTTTGCGGAGCACACATCGCTTGTTTGAGGCGCACATGTTCAGGCTTTTTAGCATTTATGCGTGCATTTTTATTTCAGCACAACACCTGCGAAAGTCCACCGCCATTGAAGAAATGTCTAGATATGCGTTTTTGGCACCCTTGGCGTTATAAGACATTAAGCTGGCAGCATTGCGTCGTCAACGTAAATGTCGTTTTTGCTGAAGACGTTGTTAAAGCCCGCATCGCCAAAACCGCCCTGTGTTATTACGTGTTGTACACACCTTTCGATCAGGACTCTTAAAAGTACCACAAGAATGCATTTACAATGATGTCAATGACGCCATCTCTACATTAGACATGATAGTTACATGGAATGAATTTGTATGCATGAAACAAGTGCAGTGTGCCTCTTAAGGAGATCACTGCGTCAAAAATATTCATTGTATGTATTTGCTGTCGTCGTTTGTTCAATAAACATGCTCTCTCACCCTTCGCTTTGTCACTCATCGCCTGCTGGTAGACCCCGATACAGCAAATGCAATTTTAAAAAGATTAGGATAGGAACATCAGAATTTGTATCGTATCGTCAGAATTAGATTGGGTACAACAGACTCAGATTAGAATATCATAGAATGATTGGCCAACACAAATCACCCGTGCTATGGATGACCTAACCACCGACCGGTGCGTTAAACCCTCATTCCCTATTGTGATCAGAAAACTTCCACATGCTATGTATCTCCGAGACTGACTGGTAGATATTTGTATCACATATTGGTGCTGCTAAAAAAACTTATGCATCATATCTTGCTAATACTTGCCCTTTCAAGTCGTCATAGCGTGCTGTTCTTTTAGAAACCATGTAAAGATCTTATAAAAGTATCGGTACGTAATTGACGTATCATTTCGCGGTGACGCCCTGGTCAATCCCTGATCGCCCTGCAGTACCTCAAGAAACAGAGAAAGCATCATAATCGCCCATCTGATAGAATCGAGAAGTAAAGGCCTGCACCCTTGCCTCCAGCATCATGAAATTTCATAACAAAGAAGTGCTCAATGATACCTGGACACAGTTCGTGGCGCTCTGTCTGCTGCTCATGCTGTCCGTTGACTCGCTCAAGTACGTCGTTGTCCCTTATTATCGCATACACATGCATCCGGCATGACATCCACATGTTCCCGTATCTAATTAAACACCAAATCTGTATGCATACAGTCCAATTAAGGCGGTAAGCAAGTTCCTGGGTCTTCCGTCATACTACTGGGGCTTGTTGGCAGTGAGCATCATGCTGGGTCTACTGATTCACAACGCGGCCGACGTCATCTACCGCTGTACACGCGTCTTCCTTAACAGCATCCTCAGTATCTCCTTCAAGAGCGTGGACCTTATTGGACTAGACAATGTCCCCACTGAGGGTCCCGTTATCTTTACGGGCAACCACGCCAACCAATTCGTGGACGGTCTCGTAGTCATGATGACCAGCCCTCGTAAAGTGGGTTTCATGATTGCCGAGAAGTCGTGGCATATGCCTGTCGTTGGCCACCTAGCCCGCATCATGGGCTGCATCCCCGTAGTTCGCCCCCAGGACTCAGTGGCTGTAGGTGTGGGTACGGTCAAGCTGGCCCGTGGGGAGGCTGTGGCTCCTGCGAGCTCTTCAAGTGGCGGTGTGAACAGTGGCAAGCCTCAGTGGCTCGTACAGGGCGAAGGCACCAGCTTTGCCAAGCAGATGACACCGGGCGACCAAATACGATTTAAGGGGAAAAGTGTGAAGGACTCGGGCTCACCCGTTAAGATCGTGCAGGTGTTAAATGACACACAAGTGCTACTGAGCTCACCGCTGAAGAAAGGTAATGGTGAACTGGTGGTGGAAAGCACCGCTTTTGAAATTTTAAAGCGAGTGGACCAATCCGTGACATTTGCCAAGGTGTATGAGCACTTAAAGCGCGGTAACTGTATCGGCATTTTTCCGGAGGGAGGCTCGCACGATCGGACTGACCTGCTTCCGCTCAAGGCCGGTGTTGCTATCATGGCACTTGGTGTGAAGGACAAATACAACATCAACGTGCCCGTGGTGCCTGTGGGATTAAACTACTTTCGTGGACACCGCTTTCGTGGACGTGTGACAGTAGAGTTTGGCACCCCGATCACTGTGGACCAAGAGTTGATGAAGAAGTACGGGCAGGATAAACGTGCCGCTTGCAACAGCTTCCTCCACCGTGTAGAGGAGAGCATGCGCTCGGTGATTGTGACTACGCCAAGCTATGGTGTCATGCAAGAGGTCCTGACTGCCCGTCGTTTGTTCCAGCGCTCAGGCGTGCGCTTGTCCGCCAAAGAGACTCAGGACTTAAACCGCCGCTTTGCCGAGGGCTACAAGGTGCTGCGTGATGTGCCTGAAGCACAAGAAGACCTTGCAGGATTACAACACAAGTTAGACACATACTACAAGACGCTGCAGAAGATGGGTCTAAAGGACCACCAGGTACCCTATATCCCGTGGTGGACCATTCACGACGTGCTAGGGTCGGCACTTTATGGTCTGCTAATTCTTCTGCTGGCCTCTATTCCATCATTTATTCTGAATGCGCCTGTCGGTCTTCTGGCGCGATATGTGGCGAACACAGCGCAGAAGAAGGCGCTGGAGGGTTCCAAGGTAAAGGTGCTGGCGCGTGACGTGATACTCAGCAAGAAGATTCAGTTTTCGATCGTGGCTGTGCCACTGCTGTGGTTCATCTATCTTGTCGCGGCTGTTGCCTTTACAAGTTGGTACTGGTCGTCGATCATGCTGCTCATGGTGTCGCTACCTGTATTCTCGTTCTTCGGCGTTCGCTCCGTAGAGGCAGGCATGATTGAGCTAAAGACAGTCCGACCCCTGTTTTATCGCCTTCTGCCAACGTACAAGGCCACACAGGATGAGCTGCCGCGTCAGCGTGCAGAGCTACAGAAGGAAGTGCGCGATTTCGTCAAGAAGTACGCGTCCCAGCTGGGAAAGCTAGCGGAGCCAAAAAAACTCGAATGGAGTAGTTATATGCACGAGCGCTCGTTGGTGCTTGCCGAGAAGGCTGAGTCCGTTGAACCGCCGCCGTCGGCATGCATTCAGGAAGGGGAAAGTTGTGAGGAGGTTCGCGAATGCAAGGGAAAAACTGGCTCTCATGTGCCGACCATCACCAAATTCCACGACATCAGTATTCTGGGTAAGTCGGAGAAGTCGGTAGCTGACTTGGCAGGCCTTGAACGGTCCATGTCATGTCCGCCTGGATATCAGGAGCTTACCACGCCGCGTCTGCATTAGTGAAGATTAAATGTTCGCAAGTCGCATCTGGTCCCGTGTAATGCACACAGAATACGTCCAAAGCGGTCCGAGGTCATAAAAACGATGCTCTACCAAATCATTTATGTCCAACTCATGCGCGACACCTGCAAAACTACTCCATCCACTTACTTGTGGAAAATTGAACCACGACGCAAAGCGGCGATGGCCTCCTCGCGGTCCTTATCATTCAGCAAATTCAGCACTTCCAAAATGCCAGCCACCGCAGCCTTGGGGTCCTTGCGGCCTATTTCAACAACCTGCGAGGCCATCTGCTCCTGGCGGAGATCAGCCACACGCGAAGCGATCCATTCCTTGTCACTTGACAGCCACAGAAGCACATCACAGTCACCGTGCGACCAAAGATCGGACACGGACACGTTCTGTTGACGAGGCACACGGCCACCGTTCACAGCCTCTGTGAACCAGCCCTTAAGAATTTGCTCGGAGCTGACGAACGTCGATGAACGAGGACCGCCAGCGCTGGCGGCCACGACCTGGCGGCGTAGAGAAAATTCTGCGAGCTGACGCTTTAAACGCCAGTAGAAAAATTTGCGCGAGTTTGACCAGGGCACAATTTGACGAATGCAGCCCACGGACTTCATGCGACCGGGTGTGTCATGAAGGTCACCAAACTCCGTGGCTACTTGTACATAGATCGGTAGTAGGGTGTCCTCACGGGACTTGATCTTAGCCGTTAGGTTAGCACCTTCAGTCTCCTTTTCTGCGGGCGACAGCTCGGCCAGTCGGGCAGTGAGCTGCTTGAGTTTGTCATCAAGACGATGCATTGTCTGTAGAAGCTGCATTTTGCGGTATTTAATCTCGATGAGACCAGCAGGCTCCAGCACACCACCACGACCCTGCGGGTCTGCGTACATCTCCATGACGCCTTCATTAATGGTTGGGTCCACCACGGCCCAGGCGCCACCACGTAGCTCAGCAAATGGTGGTATGTACACAAATACTGGCTGCTCGTAGTTGACAAGACCATCCACGATGGCAGCACCAAACTTGAGCACCTCATCGAACATGTCGCGCTGACCGCCGGAGAATCCACGCCAGTTGGCCAGGATAAATAGCGGCAAATCCTCGCCCTTGAAGTCCTTGATGGCAGTAGCAGTCTTGTGAGCCGAGTCGGGAAACCACACCTGACCAGCCTGCTGCATCAAATTTTCCTGTGACGCAGGCGCTGCCGGGTCAGCCGGGATAATTTTCTCAGAAGTGCGCACCTCCGTGACCACCACACCGCAAGGAATACCACCAAGACGGGCACGTCCAACAATCACACTCTTGGCCCAGCCGGCAAGCGTCTCACGGAACGAATCTTTGTCCATGAGCCCCGACACCCACTTGCCCGCCACCTCGTCAACCTTACCTGCCAACAGCGCACGCGGATCGTACTGTGTACTCTTGTCCTTAGGACAGAAATCCACAGTGCGCTCGAGCTCGTCCATTCCCACCAAGTCACGTATAGGCAGGGGACCGCGGCGAACCGCCGGTACGAAGCTTAACCATTCGAGAATCGAGTAGATACCCGACAGGTGGTTCTTCGACGTCAAGTGCGTCACACCATTCGTGTGCATAATCTTCACACCACCCAGCTGGTCGTTTGAGGTGTACACTTCCTTGCCCATGAGCTTATTCAGGGCCTGATAACCGGTCAAAATGATCGGTGAATGCGTAGCATTTTGCACGGTGCGTTGGCCTAAACGAACCAGGTAGGCACCGATACCGACACTACGGCCGCAGGCGTACGTTAGTGTGAACACATCTTGATAGGCCCGCGACGTTTCACCAGCGATGGTACCGCTGCCACGCAGGCACTCTACACCCAAATCGACCTCGCGACCTACAATGTCTTTGAGCACATAGCGCTCCTCGCCGGACCTGGTGACCAGCAGCTCTGCGTTGACAGCGCCCTCACGCGCGGCATTCGTATAATCTTCAGCTGTGAGATAAAGGTACTCGAAGCCCTTGGTCGGATTCGCGTCGTCCTTCCAGCAGATCTTGTACAAAGCCTTGATCGACTCGGCCATACCGATACGAGCGCCAGCATTTGCAGAGAAAAAAAAACGAGGGATGCCCTTCGAGCGGGCCAGCTTCGACGCTAAGTCAAACAGCGTGTCTTCGCGAGTACCGAAAGAGCCAGCCTTGAACGTAATATCGTTGGCAATAACGATGATCTCACGTCCGTCATGAAACTCCGGGGTGTACAGCGTCAGTAGCCACGCCACCATACCAATGCTATTCTGACCGCGAGGGCGTGATGTCTCTGTGAGAGCATTGCCCGTCGAATCGAGGATTAGCTCGCGCGTCTCCATGAGCAGGTTTGGGATGGTGATCTTTGAGCCGCCACCGCGGGCACGCTGCTGCACGTACTTGCGCCACTGACGTAGCAGGTTGTACTCAATAAGCTCGAGAAAGTCATACACGTACACCGTATTCGACATCGCCTTAGCCATCTGACGCTTCTTGTCGAACGGGAACACAACAGGGTACGGCGTCGTGACTGGCATACCATCAAGCTCACCGTGAGTCTCGTCACCGATGGAAGTAAAGATTGGCTCATCGTGACCAGCAGCCTCAACATATGCTTGTACTCGAACCACATAGCCTGTCGGATTCTCTGCCACGAGGCGCACAGGGATCGCCGTGGCTTCGCTGTTGAATCGTGCTATGATCTTGAGCTCAACTGTTGACACACCCAGCTGTTCCAAACGCTCGGCATAGCGGTAGGCTAGAATGCGAATCACACCCTCAAGGTACTGCGGGTCTACGATAGCCTGCGGTAGGATGTTCAGGTACACGTGGTTGTTCTTCGTCGGTAGCGACGACTTCTTCACAAGAGGGTTCGACAAGTTCACCTCCAGGGCGTTCAGAGCGTCAACGAGTGAGCGTTCCGGGCCAGGGTAGGCGTCATACTGCGAACGAGAGCCACTGCCATCGTGGTCAAGTTGGCGCACGACGGCACGAACGAAGATACGCTGGAAGCGATCAGTCACGATATGCGAGTCTGATTCCTTAATCTTGGCCAGGTACAAGTGCATGTTCTTGTTCTCCGACGCCAACGGGGTGACGCTGTAGTTTTGTAAACGACGCAGTTCCAGCTTATAGGCAAGCGGAGCTTCGATATGGCGTAATATCGTGTCTTCGCTATACTTGAGACGGCCAGGAAAAGTATAAATGCTCGGGTACAGAGCCATATCAGCGTTGTGTACGGATACGCTTTCGATGTTCTGCGGGCGCACTGAAAACGTCACACGACGGATATTGTGCGCGCGTAAGTCCTGGTCCACCGACTTGAGGTAGGACTGAGCCTGTTCCAATAAATCCGTCTCGTCCAAGTGCTCGTCCACTAAAAGAATATGCAGGACATTCACGAGCGGGTCTCTCCTCACCGATAACGTCTTCTTCGCAAGCGGAAACAGGGCCATAATATCCGTGAACGACGTCTTAAAACTCGCTAGGTTTGCAACACGAACGATGGCGCCATGACGCTCGGAGTCTGCGGATATCTTCTGATAAGTCTCGACAGGCTTGGCAAGCGGTTTCTCAACCATTTCCCGCTCTTCGCTACTGTCCGAATTGTGCGAGTCCAGCGAGCTAGCAGAGCTGTTGCGACGCAGTAGACTTGATAGGTCGTCATAGCTTTCAGCAGGCGAGACTCCGACGGCTAATGCATCGACGACGGGTGACTTGAACTGAAACGTCTTCGCAAAGATGTCGTTGAAGGTCATGGTCTCCATAGACTCAATAATGTACGAGCGGTACACTCGCAGCACGTACAGTTCAAGAGCCAATTCGCGGACTCGTTGCTCCTCGTGATCGAGGAGCGAGATGAGCAGGTCAAAGAGCGGCTGCGACTGATCGAGAAGATTGCTGCAAGCAGTAGCTAGATCGGTAGATGAGTCGTCAGCAATGTAGCTGGTGAGCACCTTCTCCACTTGGTTGAGACGATCGCGGTAGGAAGGCATTTTGTTGTCAATCAGGAGCTGGCGCGCCTCCAGAGCTACCAGCGAATACTGCTTTTCCTTGAGTGTAGCAAGCTTCTCAAGAAGCGGCACAAACGCTGACGTCTTCATCGACTTGAAAGGGGTGTCGCGTGCCATCTGGACAAGCAGCTGCAGCAGTAGCTTATTTTTCGCTTCTAGTGCTTGGTGGGAACGAGCAAATGCGTAGACCTTGTTCAGATCAGCCGAGTTTTGTTGACGCAGAGTCATCACCACATCTTCAACGTTGTGCGAGTTCGCGTACACGGTCTCAACCATGAAGTACTCGTTGACCAACTCTGTCAGTATACCTTCTTGGCCAGACTGCAGGCCGTGCTTGTACTTCACGGCTATATCGCGTAGTTTCAGCACAGAGGCCTCAAAGTCCGAGCGCTGACGGTCCGTCGTGAGCGTTTGTTTGTGCTCGTGGAGTATGTCAACCACCTCCGCCACGTTAAACTCGTGGGTAGCCGTAGGTTCCTCAACCACCGCTTTCTTAAATGTCTGAATCTTGTCTGTAATCTTCGCGAACACGTCAAGCGGAATGCGGCCAGCCAACGACGACATAGCCTCCTTGATCTCCTCCACAGGCAACAGGGGATTTTTCAGTACTTGAAATAAGTCGGTAAGTGCTTTTTGTGTGAGGTCATCCGGAGCAAAGTAGCCTTGAAGCACACTCTTCAAAAGCGCCAACGCCTTGCGCATCTTGTGCACGGCCTTCGTGCTATTTCCGTTCACATTCTCCGACGACGGAAGTTTGCCCACGTATACGTCGGACTTTTTTACGCACGACGGATCATCGAGTTCCATCGTAGCAATGCAATCACCGGGTGCCAGGACAGCACCCTCAGACTTTAGCAGTCGAATGACACCAGCTTCCGGCGTCAACAGCGGCATGTACATCTTCATCACCTCAATCTCAGCATACGGCATACCACGACGCAGACTAGCGCCGTCGTCTACCAAGTAGCGAGCAAGCTTACCGGCTGTGTTCGTCACCAAGCGAGTCGGATCGTACTCCTTAGTGAACACGCACGTGTGGCTGTCAACAACGAGACGTAGACCCTGTGCTTCCTTAGTTGCGTACGCAACGTGTGACTTGCCGTTTAACAAGACAAGAAAACCACCGTCCGATAGCGTTCGAATCTCTACCTGCACGTAGGAGTCGTTGCAAAACAGTGTGAACTGGATTGGACCGCTGCGGCACGCCATGATGTTGTACTTGATGCCCTCGTAAATAAGTTCCAGCGCCTCCTTTTGCGACAAAAAGTCGTTATGAGGCAGCTGACCACGCTCGATTTGGCTGACGTACTCCTCTTGAAGCTTGTTCGATGCCTGATACGCACAGCACACAGCACCGACAAAAACCACCATCAGGGGGTCAGGGCGACCTTGCAGACGCACCTCGTTATGGTGTGAAATACGTTCATCCAGCCACGATGTTGAGATGTGGTTGTACTTAAAATCGTCCGACTCCATCATGTTCACGATGTACTCGACAGTCGTATGGATATCACCACGAATGGACAGCTCTTTCAGCGCAAGGATCATATTCTTACGAGCTTTTTCACGAGTCAGACTCCATGAGAACAGGTGACCAATCTGCGAGTCGGCGAATTCGTGCACCTGACCAGACGAATCCACTGAGAAGTACCCCCAGACGTCGGGCGTACTACGAAAGTTTAGCTCTTGAATAGCTCCACTGGTCGGCTGGAAGCCAGCATTTGGGTCCTCTGCCGTAATACGCGCTGCAATTACGTGGCCATGCGGAGGCTTCTGCTTTTCCGTGTCAAAATCGATAGGGGTCGTCTCGTAGGCGTCTTTGTTGTACAAGCGACGCACATCCGGGATGCAGTATAGCGGGATGCCCATCGCAACTTGCAACTGAGCCGCCGGCAGGTTCACGTGAGTGATCATCTCCGTCACCGGGTGCTCCACTTGCAGACGCGGGTTCAACTCCAAAAAGAAGAACGAATTGCCATTGTCCTCCGGTAGCTCGCTGAATAGGTACTCAACTGTACCGGCATTCACGTACTCGACCTCCTTGGCAAGGCGAGTAGCGGCGCGCATCATCTTTTCCCACACCTCCTCGCTAGGGGCAAGCACGGGTCCTTCCTCTACAATTTTCTGGTGGCGACGCTGCACAGAGCAGTCACGGCCGCTAAGAGCAATGGCGTTGCCAAAGGTGTCGGCGAGCAGCTGCACTTCCAAGTGGCGTGACTTGGGCGCCAGTTTCATGACAAAGATGGGCGATCCAGGAATTTCACCACGCACGGCCTCCCAGGCACTGGGCACCTGGGATTCTTCGTGGCACATACGAATGCCCTTGCCACCTCCGCCCTCACTGGCCTTGATCATGACGGGAAAGCCAATACGCCTGCACTCGTCAAGACAGTGCTGGCCATCGCGCAGCATAGCCGCGTTGTAAATCTCGTCGGGGATGCCGTCGTGTGCCTTATAATCGACTTGCATGCCGTCGCCATTCCAGGCGATAGTGGGCACCTTGGCGCTTTGAGCGATGATAGTGGAGCCAATCTTGTCGCCTAGGGCACGCATGGGCTTGGCTGGGGGACCAATAAAGACGGTCTGGCGCTCCGTCTGAAGCAGCGAGTCCGGCAGCAGCGGGTTCTCACTGGCGTGGCCCCATCCCGCCCAGACAGCGTCGACGTTGTACCGTTCGGCGATCTCAATAATGAGCGAGACATTGGCGTAGTTGTGGTTGTTCGATCCACCGGGCACTTCGACAACGTGCTCAGCCATACGAATGTATTCGGCGTTGGCCTTGAGGTCTTCCGGTGTAGCCATGACAAAGAAGCTAACAACATGTTCGTCTGCAAACATCTCGTAGCTCCAGCTGCGGATGCTGCGAATAGCCTTGACGGCTGAGATGCCGTTGTTGGCGATGAGCACGGACGTGATGGGCCGAGAGCCCTTCTGAAGACGCACGTACTCCTCCATGCTCGCATAAGTGAGTGGGTTGCTGTCGCTGCGGGGTGCAGGCGATGCTTCGTTTGGGCCTCCAACGGGACCGGACGGGGGTGCTTCCTGGGCCACCATGTCGTGCGTGTCGAGCTTCGTCTCCCCTACAGCTCAAGTTGTGGAATGTCATGTCGGAGGGAGGAAACTGCTGCCTCGCTTGTGGCGGATGAAAGGCATGGGATTTTGATCAATGAACACGCTCGAATTGGGGCTATACAGATGTCAGGTCAAACTTCAAGTCGCGTCATCGATCACGATTCGCAGCTGTCCTGCGGTTTACATCGTCACACTCCAATTCCATTGCTTTTCCCGATTATTTTTTTGAAAGATGAATAAGCGTGTGCGGGTGTTGGACTGGCAAAGGCGGTTTGATGCAGGCAGCCAAAAACAAGCACTCAACGAAAATGTTGTCTGACGATTGCTTTATCACACTTGGACACGCACGTTGTCAAAAGTTAGAGCAGTAGTGTTTGATGCCATCATGTTTGAGTCTCGCCTTCGTTAAATATCCGGCGACCACCAGAATAGTGACGTCACTCGTGTCCTCTTCCCAGGCTTTGTCGACGCACTAAAATATAAGAAGCATCGAAAAGATAGCTCTGCGATCCACAGTGGAGCACAGCCAAATGATTTGACCAAATCGCTCTCGAATGGACATAGACGAGGAAATGCACGTATCTCACGCTTCCAATGGTGACGCACCTGTAGCCATTCGCACATACTTACGTAGCGGGTGACGGCTGCGACAGATTGCACCACCCTTCATCATTACGTTGATGGTGTATCTCTGATTTCCAAACATCGTGAGCAGAGCAATGGCTCTAGCGTATAGTCTCTCGATGACGTACAGCTTTTCCTGTTGCCTGGACACAACCAAGGTCAGCGGCAAGTCTGTACGTGGCACTCGGTACTGCGCATTTACAGCTTGCCGTGAAGACTTTTGTGTTGTGTGAGCCTACTTCCTAGCAATCGATCCTTTGCCGGACATCGGTTGAAGTCTAGCATCCGTTGAATAGCCGTAGCAATTTTTTTAAGCACAAACGGACAAGATGTTTGAATGGATCGACAAGCGCGGACTCCATCTGGAGGCTCTCGATAATAACCTTCAGAGACAAGTCGTGATTGTAGTGTTGAACGTCATTCGTTTTCGGTCACGGGGCGGCGTCGTGAGCATGATGGCAGATGCAATGACGTTGGTCTTTACTTCTGCGCCTGTTGCTATGAACACTGCCAAATTTTGGTGGAAGAGCGTTGTGGGCACAATGCACAGTACGCGTTGTCCAAAGTAGTAGCGTCAATGTGTAGGTTGGTGCTCGTACAGATGTCACAGCTCCTTGAATCGATCGACATTAACGAAATATACACAAGGTAAAGTACATGGATACTTTTGCCACACCAGGGCTACTTCTACGTGACGACTGGAAGCAGCAAGCATAAAATCGTTTGAAACACGTGCGAATCCTTAACTACTGTATCATCGGGATCGGGTTATGATATACAGAATCGATCATGAAATACACACGTAATCGTTTGAAAGAATTTGACTAAAAAGAGTCGATGAGCGAACACAAAAATGCGTGCAAAAGTGAAATAATTTACAATTAAAATGGGTTTCGCATAAGTAACTACAGAATTTAGGGGCAAAAAGCAAATGGGTGCTGAGAATCTGAGATAGACTTGTAACAGTATTCTGCGCTCCTTGCGAATGGAAGCGCTTTCTTGAGCAGTGAATTGATAATTTGCCTAGCGGAGCCGACAATTACCTAGTCGTATCGATTAGTGATCGATTATATTGCCGCGGAGTCGCAAGCTTCCCAGTTGTATCGACTGGTGATCGACTGCATTGTACAGCTATTCAAAAATTGAAGCTCCTCTGTAACGGGGTAGCCCTTTACATGAAATTGACAACAAACGGTGTCAATAGGAAATTTGTCCAGCGTGACAATTCCCTACCAATATTATCCGAGATGGATAATATTGAAGGAATATTATCCCCTTTAGGATAAAATTCATGAGCTGCTCCAAGATCGGTTGATATTAGACATATCAACAATAGATTGCCACCAATCGCTGCTAGACTCGCGCAAGTGGTGAGCAGGTTGTCGCCATACGACGGCGTAGTTTACTTTAGTTAGATACAGATATAGGTTGTATTGATAGCTTAACTATTTAAAGTCGGTTCTCTTTTTACCCTTACTTAAACGAGTCGTTTAAGTAGATTAGTTTCCTCTGCACGTATTAGTGTATGTGAAGTTTCGCGGCACCCCAGGCAAAGGGCGCCCCGTTACAACTGGTAGCACTTTGTAGTCCGTCCAATGACTGCTTAGTGTCCGTCGAACATTAACATGTCGGACGTAGAAGACGACAGCTTTCAGGTCACACGTGAAGGCTACTCTCATTTGAGTGACTCAGAATGGGAGATAGTCGGCCGCATGAGTGTGCTCATGAGCGAACCCGCCATCAGGGGCATGTTGGAGTCTTTAAACAGAGACAACAACATGCCGCTATCAACAAGTTCCTACAAGGAAACCTTGCTCTCAAAAGACAGAAGATAGCCTTGCTACAATAGTAAGGCTCTCATCAGTCGATGGGCGGACCGACGCACATGCGTCGACCCGAAACCTTGAAGATTGATATCTCAAGGTACAAGGGAACCGATGATGATTCCCTTTTGAGATGGTTCGTCGAGTTAGACGATGCCATCAGGGCCCATCACATCGAGGGTGACGAGATGCAAGTCACCTTCGCCCTGTCAAATTTGACGGGACAAGCAAATACTTGGGCCTTAGGGCTCAATCCTCAAGACCCAAACGTGTTTGAGTCGTTGGTGATCTTGAAGTGGCGACTCAAAGAAACATTGAGCTGCCAAGAGCCGAGTTCAGAGCACGCTCTGCACTCTTGAGGCTCAAGAAAGGTGAAAGCGACGTGCTCCCTCACGCACAACATCTACGCTACCTTGCGAGTAGCGTCACAAAAAACCCTGTTGATGAGCACACGCTCATCAACGTGTTCATCTACGACCTTGTGGATGGGCCGGTGAAGACCTACATGTTTCAAGAGGACTTCCATGCGCTGTAAAAGGCAATAGAGAATGCAGAACAAGAAGACTTCAGCCTGAAATACTCTCAGGATAACTCGTCAAATTATCGTCCTACAGGACGACAGAAAACAGGAGGTTCCAAACCTATGGACCTCTGTTACATCGAGAGCGAGAACTCTCGCTCTCTGAGTCACAAGGGAACCGCTAGATGCCATGGCTGTCAGAAGATTGGACACTTCGCTCATGAGTGTAGTGTCCCGAGCACTGCAACACGTCCAAAGACAGGACGTGATGACGCCGCTGGCCGAAAATATGGTCCAAGGCGCGGGTCCGACCAAGTCGCTAAACCGCGACAGCAAGTCGGATCGTCAAAAAACGGACAAGGTCAGTAGGGGCGGAGCACCCTGCTGATTCAGCGACGTCAAGAGAATTTGCAGGGCTCTTGACGAAGATTGCTTCCAACACACAGTCGCTGTGTGTTACTGCCCTTAGTGATGAGGAATTAATCATCACGTTGAAGATCGAAGTGACAAGTGGAATTTCACTTCGCGCCCTAGTTGATTGTGGGGCGTCGAACAGTTTTATTCGACGCCAGTCGCTAGGGGAGAGTAGGCTCAACTGTGTTAAGCGAGAGTTCCCTCCAACGAGGATGACGGTGTGCCTTGCTACAGACGCATCCGTAACAGTGAACAAACGTGTAGTGGGAATCCACTACACGCTAGAAGGAAAGCAGTACGATGATGACTTCATCGTACTAGATTTGGATGACAAATTCAATGTCACCCTTGGTCTGCCATGGCTCAGAAGAGACGAGCCATGGTTCAGCTGGCAGCATCGATCCGTGAAGATGCCTGCCGTTTGTTCATCGGATGGCCATCTGATGAACCTCTTGGAGCGTCCACAAGCGTGTGGATGTACTACGAGTGAGTGCGATGGCCTCACTTGTGGTACAGTCGTTAGTATGATTGCACAAGATCACAGTGTAGAAGGCCACTGCACTGTGGAACCAGCTTCCGGCACCTGTGTAGAGACACAGGCTGCGCCGAAGGTTCACCACTCGAAGAGATCGAGTGGACTGGAACACGGATGCACACCAAGAAGGGTGCATCCGAGAAGAGAGACAAGTGTTGTTCAGAATGGACAACACGTCATAGTAAGATCGACTAGCAGAGAATCGATCGTAGAGCAAGCCCGAGCGACTGAAAGAGATTCGATCGAAGAGGACGTGACCGTGGTACTACGCTTACAGTCAGTACACGAAAAGGAAGAAGGTTCCAGCGTTCCTGAGAGCAATAACTCCCGAGAGAGTTATGTTGAGGGTGTGGATCCCCAACCACCTGCGGATGTGTTTTCCCAGGAAATCACCGAGTCAGTTAATGTCTTGGTGAATGACGTATCAAGTGTAGGTGCTCACACACTTGATCTGGTTACGCCCCCGAAGTCAGCTTCGGAGGTAGTCAAGTTTCCAACGCTAGAATCTAAAAGATTCTTGCGAGATCTACGTAGTGACAAGATCAGGCAGATCTGCGTACTCGTCACAGAGGACGAGTACGTCGCCGATATTCGGTCGGCACAAGTTTTTGCTGAGAAAGAACGGGTTATCAGTAGCTCGTCGTTGGACGAGAGTGTCCTCGATGAGACGACCCGGATTGAGCGATACATACACGTCTCAATCTTGGGAGTCTTCGGAGACAGATTCTTCTTTGTATTAGGATTTGGTTGAATTCAGGGATGTTTTCACTGAATTTTTAATATGCAAGTTGCCGAAGGAAAAAGACATTTCTCATGAAATCGAGCTGAGAATCGGTTCGAAGTATTGTGTCATGAAGCAGTGGCCACTGCCTCGTGAACAGATAACAGCGATCGAAATATTCTTTGTCTATAGCTTAGCGGCTGGTCATGTGAGAGAATCAACATCCCCACACAGCACTCCGACCTTCTGTGTGTGAAAGTCCACAGGAGGGTGGCGGATAGTGCACGCGTTCAACTAACTGAACGCTGCAACGGTACCGGCACAAACGCCGATCCCAAGAAAGGA